TTTCCAAGGGAAAAAGAAATTCCCCTTTTGGGACCCAACCCCCCCCCGGTGGGGGGGTTTCCCTTCCCGGGGTTACAAACTCCCCAACGGCGGGGTTTTTTCCATTAAAAACCCGGGGGTTGCGCTCCACAACCGCCCAAAAGAGGGCGAGCCCTTGCCCGGCCCCCAGCGTTTTCGGGGGTGGGGTTTTTTAAAAAACCCCCCCAAGGGGGAAAGGGGGGGGCACACCCCGCGGCCCAGGGGAAACCCCCGGCGCAGGGAAATTTTGGGGCCCGGGCCCCCCCTCCCCCCCCCCTTTTTGGGGGGGTCCAGGGGGGGTGGGAAAGCCCCTCTCCCCCGCCTGGTTTGACGGGGTTTTTTGCACCCCTACTGGCCCGTCCCAAAAAAAACAAAAGCGGGAGGGGGGGGGGGGGGGGGTGTACTCATAGTCGTGCATGCCGTAGTCATTAGACCATTGACCTCGCATCCCTACAAAGCCGGGACGGAGCACGCCGGGTTCTCACCGGACCAGGCTCTCACATCACCAAGCGCGAAGCACCGTGAGGTATTTGGCGAGTCGCATGAAGGGTGAGCTGCATCCTGCTAAGGGTGTTCGGCATCTTGTGCTTACTTCCTTGCGTACGGATGACAGCTACGTATGACTTAATTTATTTTCTGGTGCTTTCACTTCCAGAGACAGTTATAAGCACTGTGTAACTGCCTCGAGGGTGCTTGACCATTTTAACACAACGTGGTGCGATCATCCCCCGTTGCGCGGAGTGAGGGTTCTCCACCCCGCACAACATGATCTACTCGACCACCATTACGGTTACCGCCAAAAAAAAAAACCGAGGTAAAAAAAAAAAAACGGTAGCCTGGTTGCCGAATTCACGAAGTGAATTGGCTTGTTTTACAACGTCGTTGCCAAGGGAGGAAAACCCAATCCCGATGGCAAACCCCGAGCGGGGGGGGGGGGGGGAAGAACAAAACAAAGGGGGCCCACCGGTGTAAGAGCTAACCAATGGCATAAGAGGAGGTCGGCCCATGGGTCGAGTCCCACGCATGATGGAAAAAAAAAAGTGAGATTAATGAACATTTCCGCTGTATACAAGCGGAAAATGCTCGCACTGATGTTGAAAAAATCCCGGCAAGAGTTGTACGTAGGCTAACCCTATGTGTGATTCGAGGATGGTGCTTTCGTCTCGGATGGAATGTACAGAACCACATGCAGACTCAATAGACATTGCCGGGCTTAGGAGCCCTGGTGGACATCAGCGTACAACACAACAACAACAAAGTATACCGAGAATGCAGCGTGCATCCCATGAGAGTCCACTTCTCCCGCCCATGTGGTACCAACACCATCTACCCTCTTGGTCCCGGTTTTTTCTCTCTCGCTACACTCCAGGTCCCTGAATAGTGCGGGTAATGCCAAGGTCTTCCACACTCATAGAGCCGGGGAACCGGGGAACCGCACTATCCATATATTAGCAGCCACCTCACTCTTCCATCTACGCCAGTCAATTCCACCCGCGCTGTGCCGGGACACCAGCACCTAGTTACCCGTATTGTACAGGGGGCCCTACCGTCCTTTGTTTTGGGTTAGCTTTCGATGACGGAACGCGATTCTTAGGCTAAATAACTCAAGAGGAATTGCTTGCTGTAGGCCGCAACGGTTTCCAACGTGTACATCTACAACCACACGATGGAAACGACGACAACGACGACAACAACAACAACAACAACAACAACAACAACAACGACAACGACAACGACAACGACAACGACAGTGACCACAGCAACAACAACAACAACAACAACAACAACAACAACAACAACAACAACAACAACAACAACAACAACGACAACGACAACGACAACGACAGTGACCACAGCAACAACAACAACAACAACAACAACAACAACAACAACAACAACGACAACAACAACAACAACAACAACAACGACAACAACAACGACAACGACAACGACAGTGACACCAACAACAACAACAACAACAACAACAACAACAACGACCACGACAACAACAACAACAGTGA